CACACACACACACACACACACACACACACACACACACACACACACGGTAGCATCTAGCCCTAGTGTCACAAACAGAAGTCTTCTGTGGCCCAGCCGGTTGGCCTCTGAGGCAGAGGGGAAACCCCCAGAAGCTCAGCTCTGCTTTTCTCTTGTGTCCTCCAACATCTCTCCCCAGGCACAGGCATTATGATCTAGCTGTGGAGCAGGTAAAAGCAAGGCAGTCACGAAGCTGAGCGTCCCTGCAGGTGTGGGTGGGCAAGGGGCAGTCACCTCCCCGCTCGCTTTTCTCTGCACAGGAAGACCAGGGCAGAAGGGAGGGAGGAAGCATGCCTTACACATGTTTTCTCTGACTATGTTTTCTCTACTGAAGAATGAAATGAGCTGGGACCACTTTCTCCCTGAGTCTCTCCTCCCACCTCACCAACAAATCCCAGTATGTATCCCAACAGCCTCTCCCGCTTCCCCATCCTGGAAACTGGGGGATACTTGGAGGTATTAGGGGTACTCTGTGTCAGATCTCTGGACCCACTGCTGAAATTCACCCTTAGAGGTCTTGGGGGCTTTTCCACCTACCATATTTGGATGGACTGTGTAGTGTCTGAGGTTCTTAAGGACAAATTTTGATTGCCCTGTCGTATCATATATCTAAAGATAAGAAACAGAATTTAGTGGTCTCAAGTCACACCTCTCCTCTCTCTCCCACTCCCCGCCCCCCCCCGCCGGGTGTGTAGTGGTAGAGAGAAGTAAGCATCAGGAGCCTTTCTTTCCACCTTATTTTTTGAGACACTGTCTCTGAACACAGAGCTTACTGATTCAGCTAGACTAGCTGGCAAGCAAGTTCCAGGGGTCCTCTTGTCTCTGGCCCTTCCCCCCAAATACTGGAGTTATGGACCCACACTGCCACATTAAAAAAACAAAACAAAACATTTTTTTTAAAGACTGTGTTTCATGCATCCCAAGCTAACTTTGGATCCTCCGGCTTCCACTATTAAGTGGGGGTTCCAGCTTGCTCTGCCATGTCTGGTTTACCCAATACTGGGATTTAATGGAGGGCTGTGTGAGTGCCTGGCAAGCACTCCACCAACTGAGCCACATTCTCAACCCTGACCTGGGGATTTGACCTCAGGTCCTTCACACTTGCTGTGTGAACATTTTTCCCTGTGCCAATCTGTCTAGTACCCAAGTCACACCCATTAAATGGGTGACCTCATCTCATTCTCACTAAAATGGTCTTTTCTAGACACTAATTGAGGAGAACCTATTCTGCCTGTGCTATATTCTGGGGTTTTTGGAACAAAGTCTACAGGCAGGAGAACAGGATTCTGAAATCCTAAGATATGGGAAGAAGTTTGTGGATGGTTGTGTGGATCTGCCTTAGAAATTCCATATAAGGGGAATAGGGAGCTAACTCAGACCAGAAAAGTGCTTGCCATGTGAACAAGAGATCCCTAGCAGTCTCATAAGTGCATGCATCATGGCACATGATTGCATCCCATCTCCAGGCAGGCAAATACAGGTAGAACCCTGGCGTTCCTTGGCTAGTTAGCTTAGCCTAACCAGGGAAGCCTGATGCCAGTAGGAGACTCTGTCTCAAAAAACAAGGTGGGTGGTTTGCAGGGAGCAAAGCCTGAGGGTGGCTTCTTGTCTCCATACACAGACGCACATGTACCTTCAACCCCCATAGACCCTCACAGCCATGAGCACACATGTACACACACATACAATGCTTCAAAGGCTGTAGCGTGGTAGACAAGTGAAATCACACCCTTTCCCTTCCTTTTTTCCCTCTACAGGAGTAGGTCAGGTGGCATCAAGCCAGAGGCTAGCCCAGGGGCTAACCTTTAAGGAGAAAAGAAGTTACAAATGGACAACAACCTAAGAGGTGTAGATTCCAGGGACAGCTCTGGCAACTGAGCTGGGACCCGACACTCACAGAAGACAGGAAAAGGGAGAGCACTTTGCATTTCTGAATATCTCTGCAAAATATAATTCTTTCAGAGAGGTTGAAAAAATCGTTAAATTTTGAGGTCCCTTCTGTATAGTACTTAACATCATTTTATTGGTAGAAGTACTGGTATTGGCACTGTTAGAGTGTCCTGTCTGATAAAGGACAGGCTCCTCCCCATGTACTTAGCCCTGCATTATCTAAGGATGAATGAAAGTAAGAACACAGGAGACAGAGACCTTCTTAGCATACGCAGAGATCAGAATACAAGGAGACAAGCACAATCCTGTGTTTGGATCATCAGTTTGGAAGAGGCCGTGCCTCCAAAGAGTTAAGATGGGCTTCTGGGAAAAGGAGGCACCCCTGAAAAGTGAACAAAGCTAGGAGCAGATGGAGGTGAAGGAGACAATAAGGATGGGGTAGAACTGTAGGAAGACGGCACTGGCCTTCAGGAGAACACGGCCATGAGTTGTGGCGTTGGGTTAGATGAGGACTGAGAGACTCAGCACAGCCCCTTCTGTTAGAAAGGGTGAGGAGAAATATGGGACAAATCCAAAGAACTAATCGTTTTGTTTTTAACTTTTGGGAAACTGACATCTACTTGTTCAAAACAAAAGTTATGAAAAACAAGTATATTGTGTGATATATGTATTAGGAAACTTAGACAGTTTCTTTGGGGGAAACATTTGAAGGCTCTTTTCCCCTTAAACTTTTGTTTTGTTTTAATTAATTTTAGCAGAAAAAGTCTGTGAGGAAAATATTTGAACTTCTGGACTTTTCTGAGGAATTGTGCCTCTGCTCCAAATCAGCCTGTAGCAGTTGACTAAACCTAACAATTGGAATATGTTTTTAATTTTGTCAAGTTGACTTACATTATCGCTGGCGAAATAAAAGTTGGCTTCAAAAATTCACTTGAATATGATAATCTTGGGAAAGCAACCAAGATATCCAATGGAATTTTGCTATAAGCAGTGACCTCGAAACCCTTATGCACTGCAGGTGGGAGCTTACACTAATGCAGCCACCATGGAAGTCCATGCAGAAGTTTCTGAGGAGAATTGAAAACAGGGCTACCACAGCTATACTACTCCTAAGTCAACAGACCACAGAGAGATCTATGCATATTTATGCTTATTGCTGTACCATTCACAATTGCTAAGGGGTAGAAACCAGCCCAGATATCCAATAGATGAATAGATAAAGACTGTTGTGGTCGATATATACACAGTGGACTTTATTTAGCTTTAAAGAAGAATAAAATTAAGGCAGTCTCAGGAAAATGGTTGGGAACCCATCATGTTAAGTAAAACAAGCCATACTTGGAAAGATAAATGCACTTGTTTTTCTTCCATATACAGAAACTAGATTTAAATGTGTGGGGGTTGGGGGAGGTGAAGATAGAAACGAAATCATCAATGGGAGGAAGAGATCTCAAGGTGGTGGGTGTTCTAGTTTCCTTTCTGCTGCTGTGATAAAAACACCCTGATAAAAAGCAACTTAGGGGAGGAAAGGATTCATTGGGCTTATACTTCCAAGTCATAGTCCGTCATAGAGAAATCAGGGCAGGAACCTGTAGCAGAAGCCAGGAAGGAATTGCTGGCTCACTCCCAGGCTTATGCTTAGCTAGCTTTCTAGCCCAGACTATTTACCCAGGGAATGGTGCTGCCCCACAGTGGACTCAGCCTTTCTACATCAATTAGCAATCAAGACAACCCCCTACAGACGTATCTGCAGGCCAATTTGATCTGGGTGATTCCTCAAGAGAGACTACCTTCTAGGCGACTCTAGGCTGTGTTGAGTTGACATTTCAAATTAACTAGGCCAGTAGATTGTAAACTATAGGTGATATGAACACAGAAGAGGGTACTATTTGAGAGAGAAGAAATGGGTCAGGAAGAGGAAGATAGAGAACATGGATAAACAGTGGCCAGAGAAGGACAAATAGGAATAAATTTTATTGACATAGACATATGACACATTAAATGTCATAACGAAACATTACTTTGCCAGGCTTGGTGGCATAGGCTTGTGGTCTTGGCTCCTCCAGAGGCAGAGGGAGAAGGAGCTTGAGTTCAAGGTTACACTGGGCAACTTGGTGAGACCCCATATTAAAAAGTTAAAAAGAGAGGTGTGAAGATAGCTCAGTGATAGAGTGACAGACTGGTATCCATGAGGCCCTGAGTTTAGTCTCTAGTACTACACAACAAACAACAAACAACAAACAAACAAACAAAACATCACTTTATAAGCTAACTTTAAAAAGCAATTAAGTGACATAAGAAAATAGCCTTGATGTCTAAGTGAATTAGAATTTAATACATCATAAGGTAAGTTACTAGTTTTTAGGTTTTGTGTCCTGATTTGTTGCTAATATGTCCTTGTTGCCCACCTTAGCTTCTCTGTTTCTTTCTTGGAAAATAAAATAAACTAACCTCACTCTGTATATATGTGTTTGCTCCTCTTTGCTTTTGCTTAGGAAGTTTAGAAAGTCACTGTTAGTAAGATAGTTTAAGCAATCCCAAGGAAAATGACACAGGACATATACTACCGGTTTTCCTTACCTCGTCACCATCTGGACCTATTTTTTTCTGAAATTTAATAGAGACATTTCCCGCAGTCTTTGATGGTCTGTTATCATGAAACCTGAAAAAGGGGTGGAAGGTCCAGGTGCATTACTGACCCGTGCCCCAACTTTCTGCACGCCCTCAGCCTCCCTCTGTTAAAGTGTGGGAGCTTAACTTGAGATTACTAACTTAGGTGCTCATGAATTGAATAGAACTCACGGCCAGTTTGCATGCTGAGGAAAAATTTAAGATTAAAGGGTTGAGCAAATACAGATGTCTCTGAGATATGCTGGCATCCAGTAAGTTAACCTTTTTCAGTAGAACTTTTGGATCACTCAAAGAAGTTGCTTTAGAAGACTGCCCAAGGAAACTCTGCAGACAGCTAGACTATCACAGTACCTTAAAGACCCCTACTAGTATTTTGACTACCTACCTGCTTGTCCTCCGCATTGAAATGGCCCTGACTTTGCCAGGGATGGCCGATTGGTCAGTCATGAAAAGGAACGTAGCTAGGGAATCCCACAACTAAATTTCTGATTCCTATTGGCTTTGCTTGGATTACTGGTCAAATCGTTTTCCTAACCACATCTAAAAGTTTCTTTTCCTAGAACTAGGGTATAGAAAGAGCCATCAGTGGCAGACAGTTTGATGTACTATTGTTTCACTCACTTTTCCATCTTCCACCTCACCCCAATTCCTTTTGCGGGAAAGGAGGAAGTTGCAATACCTAATAATAAAGTATTTTGGAGTTCTTGACCTTCTTCTTTTCCCATACTGGTGATGGAACCTGGGGCCTTGCACTTGCTGAACCAGGCCCCACCACTGGGCTGCATCCCTGGTCCTCCAAGTTCAGACCAAAGGGCTTAGGAATATCCCCAAGTATATCGGATAGATTCAAATATGTTCATTTTGACTAAACATCTCGAAGTTTGTGCCTTTTGGATGTATTCTCTTATTGTAATGCACAACAATACTATTGCATCATTTTTACTGTAGCACTTTTCAAAATGATGTGTGTGTGTGTGTGTGTGTGTGTGTGTGTGTGTGTGTGTGTACAAAACAGCACAGAATCTCAGACTCAGCCTTGAACTGCATGAAAAGCTCTTCAATATCCCAGCAGTGCTCATCTTGAACAGCCTGGTGCTTTGTTTTTGGCAAAAGTCCTTTTGTTGCTACATGAAACACAGATTCAACTCTGTTTTGTTTTGGTTTTTCTGCAAATAGTTGGTCAACTAAAAAATATTTAATAAAGGTCTGCTCTGTGATTCACACTGTCTAGAGTGCGTGAGTGGCAAAGGAAGCTAGTGGAAAGTTGGTGTTCATAGCTTATTTGAGAAAAGAAGATTACGTACTTGGTATATTTCTTTGGGCCCATGGCTATTCACTGAGAACTGGACCAACTTGCAGCAAGTATTCACTGAGGCTTAAAGTCAGCGTCTCTAAGTAATTCACATTCTATGAGAATTTAAGTCAATAAAATATTCTTTTCTTAGCACACACTGTGTGCCCGACCCAATCTTGATCCTGTGTGGGAAACAAGAGAAGACTAATAAATGGTATTGTAGATGTGGGAGCTGAATAAGCATGATCCTTGCCCTTGAGAAATTAAATTTATTTAACTAATGAGGGGAGAGGAAAGGAAGTAATTATTAAATCTGAAACAAAAAAAGAAAAAAATACATGCTAATATATCAGCAACTTCATCTCTTAGAAGTCTCAATTTCATCTGTAAAGTTCAGTCATTGACTGAATGATTTAAAGGTGACATTCTAATCTAGTGACAGTGGTGAGATTTAACCTACATAAGGATTCTAAATGAAATGAAGTCATATACATGTACAACGGAGGGGAAAGTCTGCGGAGCTTCTAACTTTCAGTTGACTTCTTTCAACTTACAACCATCCTTATCTACAGCTAAGGCCTGAGACGTT